AACAGCTCGTCTGATGCATAGCTGAACTGCAGGTCGACCTGCACGCCATCGTCTGACCTGAACGAAAAATGAAATGTTTAAGACGAACGATACATTTTTAGAACATAGTACCTTCACATATGTATTAAGTGTTTTCAACTTGTGATACAAACATAGACCAAAGGTTGCGAAACAAAAAAATTATTAATAGAGAAATGACCAATAATGCATGGCTTTCGGGGCATCAAAACAATAATATATGAAATAATCAGAAAAATTCATGAGTTTCTGAATTTAATACTCAAACTCAACTCAATTAAGAGAGCAGAGATTACATTTAATCTGTACATATTATTGATTCGAAGCCTCAATAACGTATCAATTTTGAAGATTTCACTGTTCATCAAAATATTTTAATTATGCAAATTATGAGAATTGCACCAGAAGTTAGAGGACATCCAGTATATGCTCCTCATATTTTCAATGACATGACATACTTCGCCATTTACTCGTCTTACGAAAAAATCGAAATGTAAAAGGCGAATGAACAGGAATCAAATTACCAAGGAACCGTTAAAAAATCTTTTTTAGGAGCTAAATTAAATTGGGCGCTTTTCAATTCAATTCAGCCTCATTTTAAATTCTACTAACGAGTTCTTAATTTCGCATCGAGTTCTGAATTTTGGTCTCGATTGCAGCATTTCTTCAGTAACGACCAAACACTAACAAAGAATCATTACAAAAAAGTAATAGGTATGTAAAAGTGATACATTCGATTGCATGGTGACGCTCGGAAAAAATTTACCCGAATTACTATACTTCTGTGTTTATAGTGGAAAAAATTACAATTTGGTTCAAGTTAGGATGACAGGCAAATCTGGTGCCCACTTCCACCCGAAATATCCACAAAATACACGAAATGATGAATTAAATTCTTGTCCCTAATTCACCACCTGTAAAATAACAAAATTGAACGGGGAGTATAATGCCAGCATTTATACCAGCATTGTACCACGATAGAGTATAACAAACGGCCGAACTCAAAGTTTTGACAATCGGTAATGGGTAATTTCCTTGCCTAAACCATCAGTCCACCAAGGTTAAACAACAATGGGTTCTACAACCAGGTAAATTAACATCAAATACGGCAGCTAATACCAATGTCATGCTAATGTGCTCAACCAGCCACAAAATGGAGTCCAAAAAATAATTTCGCAGTAATTTAAGAGCAACGTAACAAATTTAACAATGAGACAGTTCGCATTTATTGAAGCATTGACTTGCGGAAACTGATTACAAAATTACAAAGAAAAATCATGCGTCGGCCGCTCCAAACGCTGATCGATGAAACAACGTGTACGCGTGCGATGCATTCTACTAGTAACCATAGTGAACCCTGGACAACAAAAGACGGAAGTATAGTGACAATTACCGTTCGAAAATGAACAGAGTTGAGTTCAACATTTTTAATTTAGTTACCTAAGTCTCTTCGCCAAAGGACAAAGAACAAGCGTGATAATACGACGAGTTTATCTTACAAAATCTAGTTCAAAAATCCATTAAAGAAATTTCCACTAATGTTATAGCGCAATTGTGCAAGGTGCATTGAGCACAGCATATCTTTAGGTGACATTAAACTGTTTACTGGTGGACGCTGAAATAGGAATATAATTGAATTATTATCCCTATCAATAAAAACTATTTCAATTTCTAACGAAGAGTAAATTTGCTACTGAACATTTTTCCCATGCATGTATTACTTTAATGTTAAATTAATATTGCTTTGTGTACTATATATACGCAGCGCAAATTTTATTATTATATTTTATATTATAATAGGAACTCAAATTATAAATTATGCAATACACATAATTAAAGGCGCTCTGAAAACTTGGTGAGAATATTGTCAATTTCTAAATCTTTATTGCTTTGTGTACTATATATACGCAGCGCAAATTTTGATTTCATATATATGTTGTAGTAAATACGATTACTTCAAGATATTATCTTATTAATTTCTAATTTGTAATAGCCTGTGACGTTCCAGTATATTAGTTTGCTTTGTATTAGTTCGCTTCGTGTTTGAATTAATTAGATGTTACAGATCCAGTTGATGATGGACAAAATGATTGATTGATAATGTCAATAGCATTTTTAGAATTAAACTTTTATTTTTTAACAATAAATTTTTTAACGCCCGTATGATCATTCTCATGACAATGTATAATTTTAATTTGTCGAATGGTGCAAGATTGTCTATGTTTACTCATTTAACGCAATTTAAATTTTTACTTATATTTCAGCCTCGCAAAACAGCTGCTGGAAACCTAATCCAAGCCATTGATTTGCCATTCCAACGCGGCCAGATTGACATTACTTTCATATTCATATACCAAGATATTGTCATGATTCTACAAATAATGACAATGACAATACGACAATAATGAGCAACACTACACATAGTTGAAACATGCTCCTTACCTCATTAAAAGCTGCAGTGGCCGCTGATCAGTTTAGCAGGTAGCAATCTCGTTAACAAACCGATCGATTATTGCAACTATTTTCAGTTTGTTAATGAGATGAACCCTTACTGGAAGCTTCTCACAGACATAGATTCAGGCAAATCGAAACCGGAAAGTATGGTAAATGATGAAACAGTTTCAGCCATCCTGAAACCAGAAACTGAATTCATTATCAAATTCTATCCCAGCTATGGATATTCCAGTAAAGACTTGACTACAAAGAATTACTGTAGTTGGCTCTAAAATTTCTTGGTGAAGGGCCAACTGATGTTCATATTAATGCTCTTGGTGCATCACAGAGAGCCTACTTGATAGCAAAAATAATATGCAGTTTTACCTGTTTCGGTTAATGTTGCATCTCACATCTGTATTGGCTTCAACATCTCAATGCGCTCACTGTGAAGCTGTTACCCAAAGCATGATAGCTCAACATTTCTGCCGCAGTTGTTCCCCAAATGATCTGCAGTTTCTGAAAGATCTTGTTGCCTATAGAAAAGTTAATAACTCAATTTTCCGCTCAACTATGAAGACATCTGTGCGCCATTCGTGGTACTTGAGAAACATTATTGTGGGACTTGGTATATATGATTCAGAAGTTACTGACACAGAGAAGCGCCGAATGATAAATGTCATGTCAAAACTTGATGAAAACTATCCTGCATCTCAAGTTGAATCTCTGAACGAAAGTTCTGTGCCTCAGTTGACTCAGTCAGACTTTGTAAACTCTACAAACACAAGGTTTTTTTTCCGGCCATTCAAATTGAAACAGATTTTCTGCAGCAGGATCCAGACACCTGGAACGTCATTTAGCATAACTGCGTGATTACTAACCTAGAGAAGTGTTAACCCACAATATTTACTTTACCCATACAGTTAAGCGTTCTTAGAAATTGTTGCACTAATTTGTTGTAAGCCTAGTTTTTTTTTTGAAACTCAACATTCATTGTACAACGAGTAAACTGTCTTGGATTTTCGTATTTTTAGTACATGCACTCTGCCTATTAGGTCGAAAAAATCTGGACCATGAGACCGTAAATAATCCATATTATATGTTTGCCTGGTACCCTACTGTCTAATTTATTAAAATAAAGAAGCTGCATCGCCTGAGCAAACAGAAAAATCAATTCACGATGTGAATCATTGGAAATCAGTGAGCCGAAAATTTCGCGTTCAACGGTTGTCCATGACACACAACCAGAAAATAACGACAAGCTCGACTGTATCTGAGTTTGTTGCTCTGATGTATCGAGATCGCCTCACTCAGGGGCCCCATGTGCCCGATGTTAGCTGGACTTGATGTACTATGAATGCATAAAATCTTTATGGTAGAAACTTTTGTCATTTAGGCTATAATCTAGTGTGAAAACTCGAGGGATCGAAAACTGGCGTAGAATTAGATTTTGAGAGACAACAAGAGAAGGAAACGCCGACATGATATATGATAATTTTATTTGAATACTTAATAAGATAGATAGGTGATGGGTGCTAGCAACATCTAGTTTTTAAGAGTTTGAATTACGTTATGGGTATGACGTCAACATTTTTGACGCATAATGAATACCGCAAAACGCTTCACTTATACCAAACTTAACATTAAAACAGCGAAAATTCTAGCTCACAACCAAGTGTCTCGTATGTTATTATGGCTAAGTATTGTCAATAAAGCTTTCGTAATAGTAAAAACTTGCAATAGCGAAAAATATCAGTGAAAATTCATTAAAATAGCAATGAAATTATGCATCACTATACTACATATTAAGCAAATTGACTGACTTTGCGTATATATCACACGTACAGTTAATTTATTCGTAGCGAAAGATATAGTGTCAAAATAGCAATAGAAATAATGTTAATAGAAATAGAAATGTTAATAAAAATAGTGTTTACAAAAATAATGTTTACAAAAATAGTGTTTATATAAATAGTGTTAATATAAATAGTGTCGGTAGCTGCCTGTCAATCAAAAGATCTGGGACAAAAATGCAATGGTGGATCGACTGTGAACCTGCTGTACGATTGAACATTTCTTCGTTTGCTAATCAAAATTTATTTCAAGCAAATTTCGACATAATTACTGATTTCAAATGGACTTCTTCAATCTTAAATAATTCACACACTCAACCATGCAAATTTATCATGTCGTCACGTTGTGTCACAGGTTGCATCTTAGCACAAAAAATCTCATGATGACAAACTAACTTTAATATATACGGAATTTTGCATAACAATTATAATTCACGTCGTGGTTCAAAAGAAAGCACAACTTTAGAAGAATCTAAAACATGCACCAACGTCATAATAAAAATTAGCTGAAGAATAGCAAATTTTCCATTTTAATTCATTACAAACTCTACGATACACATTTTCGTTAAAGCTGAATAAATACCCGGCTGGGCAATAATTCTACCTTAACCCTTGTCGAACAGCATAGGTATAACAAATGTACACGCACTATGTACGATTGAAATTATGCAAAATTATTCAGTCGAAGGAGGAGTACACAACGTGCAGAAGACCATTACCAGTTGTGATATTATTCGGCTCGGATAACGCGTAGTTCGTTTACCTGGAAGTTAAGCGAGGACACAGTTTTCAAGTTCAGGTACTGACCAGGAACTGGAGTAGGGAGATTTATTACACTCATTCCCGACAAATCTCCAGAAAGAGTTGCTATTACTGCGTTGCTGGTTTCAGTAGACGAGTCCCCAAACGAACTACAACTGATTTAAAATACTCTGCGATATTCGTAGCATGAACTATGCTCACTTCAGCCACTTTGACTGCCGACCCAAAGTTAATCTGCAGGAAGTAAGTTGAAAAGCCCGTAGAAGTGAAGCCGTACTCTGTGAATTCTTTGCGACAGAAGTACCCATCAATGGCATTGATGGGGGGACTATTCGTGTACGCTGCTGGACTACCAGTTGTAACCATGTTGCTCCTGATGATGTCTCGTGCGTCAGCCCAGGACGAGTAGCAAGTCTTGAAGGTGGCGGTGTTGCTGGAGGGCGTCACGCCGGGGAACCATTGCGACACGAAGCACTCCAGGAGGTCGCAGCTCATCGTGCCTGAGGTGAATTGTACGAGAGGAAGGAGCACGAACAACGAAACAAGTTGATGTTAAAGGGCCACCAAAGAGAGACATCAGAGATAGTGACATATTCGCTTCGAAATTTATGATGAATAAAATTATACACAATAACTAAACATTGAAAAGTTGTTTAATGTCAATAAATTATCACATCAGCCTAACTCTAAGCTAAATACGGAGTATCGAGAATACAAATATTGGTATGACACGCCTTTATTTCACTAATGACTTATTTACATACCTGAATTGAAGCAAAATAACCTGCAGTTATTTGTCAACATGCACTGCTTGCCGCAGTCGAAGAGAGCCAGCGAGTTGTCAGGGTAGGATATGTCGACATTTCCGAGGAGGCAGCTCTTGTGGAACGTTTTTGCCTGGACCTAAAAAAGGGGCAGGAGCTGATGATGCTGTAGGCTGAGATGCTGGTATTCATTTTTCGAATAATGTTAAGAAACTTAATTCTGCTGCTCAAAAAATAAAAGCTATCTGTTAAGAGATGCGTAGTTTAAGAGATGGAAGAAGCTTTATTCATACTTTTAGCTTCATGAAAAGAACGTCTCACTAGTTTTCTTATAGTGTAAGAACGCAGAGATTAGATCCAACCGTTCCATCAGCACGTACCTACAAAGGTAACAAATATGTATACCCGCTTCTTAAGTGTCTCAACCCCTTATCAACCAAGTGAATCCAGTGGCGAATTAATTATACCTCATTTACAACATGAATTTGAAGTTATTCTGATAATAAACGGTAAAGACGTTCGCGAACTGCTTTTTAGTGAATTTTGCCTTGTAAATTAGGGGCCAGGCGGTTATGTTAGATGCTGTTGAACGAGTAGGTCCATCAAAGGTCGCTTCAAAAATGCTCATCATGGCTCGCACTTATGGTTTAAAAGTAACAATAAATAACGAGTGAATATAAACAAATCTGTTGCAAATCTGGGTTAAAGAATTCGCCCGCTCTTACCGCCGAGCTTTGATCCATATCGTATTTAATTTCCCTATTGCTTGCAAAAGCAATGAAAATATTAGATAATATAATCAATTATGATTAAAATTTATTGATAGTTAAATACCGGCAGAAATTTTTGCTGTTGGTAACCAGATTCACCGCACGAGAGGATGTCGAGTAGAGTCACCACGTATAAGGTGATTCTAATGGTAGTTCTTAGGCGCATGTTGGGTAGTGGTCAGTTCCTGCACAACGAGTTGAACAAAATTAAGGTTAAGTTTGTTCTTGTTAATTTGTTTATTGAGGATGTGGGGGTTGTCCCCCGTGTCCCTCACGGCCCAAGTTGTGAGAGGTTAAGTTTCATGAATATTGGGTAATTTTTATTTTTTAGTTACAATGAGGCAATAAATTCCACAAAATGTGAAATTGATTGATTCACGAACATGTTATTTTAACAAAATCTTTTACTAAAGGTTTTTGTTAATGAATAAATAATTAAGAGATTACACAGATCAAACTTCAAATCCCAAGCTTTATTTTTATAACACTTCTCTTTAACTTCACTTCTTGTTTGTCTGTTTGTCTGTCTGCTACAAATCTTGTAATCGAAATTTAATACACTTCTACTTATCCTATCGATCTGAAATTTTGCACACTTGCGTAAAGTTGGAGACTTTGCATGAATCAAATGACAAACAAATAATTTTAAGAATAAAAAAATTTTTTTAACACTTCTTTTTTACAACACTTCTCTTTAACTTCACTTCTTGTCTGTTTGTCTGTCTGTCACAAATCTTGTAATCGAAATTTAACACACTTCTACTTATCCTATCGATCTGAAATTTTGCACACTTGAGTAAAGTTGGAGACAATGCATGAATCAAATATCAAAATAAATGATTTTATAAATTAAGAAAACCTTTTTTTTCAATATTAAACAAATTGAAAAAAATAATTTTGTCAGCTATAAATCTTATAACTGATATTTGACATACTTTTACCTGTCTAATTGATCTGAAATTTTGCACACTTGTGTGAAGTCGGAGGCAATGCATGAATCAATTGACAGAATAAATAATTTTGAGAAAAAAAGTTTGTATATATAAAAAAATTGAATGATTAATTTTTTAATATTCGAAAATAAAATGAAAAATTCATTGTACATCTTTAACATTGGAGACACTGGATTCTTTAGAAGTGTTGTCTTTAAAAAGTAATTTTTAAACGTATATTACTTAACTTCACTCCTTGTTTGTCTGTCCGCTACAAATCTTGTAATCGAAATTTAATACACTTCTACTTATCCTATCGATCTGAAATTTTTCACACTTGCGTAAAGTTGGAGACAATGCTTGAATCAAATGACAAAATAAATAATTTTAGGAATTAAAATTTTTTTCAATATTAAAAAAATTGAACAAATAATTTTCACAGCTACAAATCTTATAATTGATATTTGACACACTTTTACCTGTCCAATTGATTAAATATCCAAAAAATATTCAAATTATGTCGCCTGCCTTGCGTGCTGGGGGCATAACGGGCAGTAAGTTAATGATTAATACTCAACGGTACTCTAGATAGAACCAATTCGTTTATGTATTGAGGGGTCGGCTAAGATTGCACGATATCTACTGTTGATACTGGTAGTATGTGCTGGTGTGGGAATGTCTTCATTGTAGTGATGCCCCGCATGTTATTCATGTGTTTCGCAACAATAGTTTCGGAGATATCACAACAATTTATGTCACTTATATTCTGCATGCAATTATTTGATATACAATGATATATTTGAGAGCAGAGCACATATGAGATTGTGTGTCACAATTTAAATTATTTTTTGTGCACTTGACTAAGATTGAAATCTGTTTTAGTATAATTTTTAGAATATCACACGAGAAGGTACAGTGCTGCACCGCCACTTTTCGTTCGATTCAAAAAGCAATCAACTCGCGCCTCAATCGGCGCAATTTAGTTCGAAATTAGAGACTGGATAGCTCCAAATCAATGATAGTAAACTTATTAAAGACTCGAACCACTGCAAGTCGACCTCAATTCAGACGTTATTTTTGTAGTTCAAGAAAGCGATAGATTTTAAAGCTGATCAGAGAAACGAAATAATTTAAACTTTATTAGAACATGTCACAGCCTAAAATATAAGATATTTGAAATATTAATATAACTCAATGCATTAAATCAGCTCAAAGCCTACTTTTACCTTACCTTTACAACGCTAGTACTAGTAGAGTACTTGCCAGTTGCATCTGGGGCAATCCAATTATCCGCTTGCCTTTATAAGCAAATTGAATAATGCATAGTATAGTAGTTTCGGCGTAGAAGATTAGGCCAATTCTGGCCTTTTGGCCGTTCGTGTGATTTTCTTGACTTGTTTCAGGGAGGTTCAAATCCACCCGACTTCATATTGGGTTGTTGCCAAAATTAACGGGGAATTACTATAAACTAGAAGTCTACTTTAACGTTGCTGCAGAGGTCTTTATGAAAGAGCACATTAACTCAAAACACAGCTGGTTATTCCGTACTGCTAGATAAATCGTACTGCAAGTTAGCCAATCATGGAAGGTCAAAATCGAAACGCACAGTAAATTATTGTGTAAAAGTAGGTATAAAACTGTACCTAAACATGCCAAAGTTTTAGGTTCACTTTAATAAGCAAAATTCGTTTAACGAAGAAAAAAACGATTTGAATGACTGCAATGCTGTACATCGAGACTTCTCAGTCTCGGTTCATAAACTCTGAGACAAACTTGTAATGACTTTAATGGTGTCAAATCAATATAGCAACTTCGAGAACCAATAGTAACTCGGCGGCCTCTTGTTAAAATCTACAATGTCCACACCAAGGTCTGCTCTGAACGAACAACGAATTAGAAAAAATGAAGGCTAACCTCAAAAGCTTCTTTCACATTTTCAAAGTTTAATAAGTGAATATGCAGAATGTTTAATGAATTTTCTTCGTTAATTAGCCGATCTTGAAGAAACATTAAAAATAATTTTTTGTCTCTTTACAAGTTCTTTATTCGCAGTTTCAACAACAAACCATTTTGTTATCGATTAAAATGTTTGTGTGTCGTTCTTTTGCAAATTGCAGTTGAATTAAATCTGAATTATTCCATAGAAAGTACTCTTAATATTCATTAAACATTTTATGACAACAGAAAAAGTTGAAAATATACTCGCCCAACAAACTAGAGTCACAGACGAAAAAATCTTTCGTCTGTAACTTTTATTTTAATCCACGTAGCGCTATGGAATCGAAACTCCAATTATTCTTCAGTTCACTGAACAATACACACTCACAAACTTAGCGCTAGCTTGTTTAATATTAGAGGCAAAATTGCTATTAATCAAAGACCCTGGATGAGAAATGTCAGACTCAAACAAGCCGAGGTCACTTTATTCTACACGGGACATTTGTGTTAGAAAAGCTGAAGTAGATTTGAGTTGATCTTGCTAATGTGGGGAGACAACATTTTCTCACACTAGGTCTTCTGCCGTAATGTTTATTAAGCACCCATTCCATTACACCATTAAGGCCAAGATTTGCTCTGAAAACAACGGTTGTTTCATATTCGGCATTTACCACACGAACGCTGCTCTTTCTTTGTGGGCCGATTTGATCGTATCACAGCTCAATAATTTAAATTAGCTCGACAGCCTCCAGCACGATGTTTGTTAATGAGTCTTAAATACCTGATCGAAGCCTTCTCATAGTTCTGAGGCAGCTGCTGATTTGCATGGTGGATTTAATTACCCATGATAAATTATCGTAGCCCAGTTGATGTACGAAAATACGACTCGACAACGTCATTGTTATTAGGCTCAATCCAGTGATTACATTAGCGAGGCTATTTTTTCGAAGCATTCTAACCAGATCTAAACCAAAGTATTGAAATATATTTTTCAAAACTTCCGCGTCGGTGCAGATAGCTTCTTCAGCTTGATTGACGTTTGCAATTATGATTTGATATTCATTGGAACTTTTATCGTTATAGCCGATCAAAAGAAGTCAAGTGGAGTTATAGCCGTGACTTGGTACGACGATTTAAATTAATTATTTCTCAACATGCAAGTGCGCACGAGGAAAAATAACTATTTATAGTACATTAGTTCTTTTAGACGTTATTAATTGCCGTATACGAATTGGCTATGATAGCAAGAAGATAATTCGAATTTGTTGAAAATATTTCATTATTGTTCACCGAATTTTAAGCAAGAAATTAAATCAGAATAAACATTGAGACAAAGGAAAGTAAGCAGTGTTCGCATGATACATCACAAATTTATTTGAATAATGATATGTGACAAAAGGTCGCATGAGCAAGTCAGATCTAGTTTTTTAACCGTTAAATAGTGCAATGTATAAGTTTTCAAGTGAAATTCAAGCTTTAATTCTAAAAATATAACTCAGTACTCACTGCAGTGAGTGACAGAGAGCGCATTTTCTCGTCGACGAAAACTTGAGGTCACGGACGGACGGACAGACGGACGGACAGACGGACAGACAGGCGGACATGGCGAATTGGCGATCACAATAGTGCATTTTTTTCCACAAATGAGAAAAGGCGCTAAAAAGTAATAATTAAATTATTTAAACATTTAATTCTAATTAAGCACGACTTTACTTACTCAATCAACATCAATATTTCCTCCAATCGTCATACATTGCGATAAAGGAATAATTTCCTGGAGAGTCGAGCTCAACTTTGAAATTTGCGATTTACTATTTTAAACATTAATTCTAATTCAAAACGTCCTAGCAAGAACTTTTTTCCGCTGCAGACGACATACTTTTGAATGAATAATTTCAGTTCACAAAAATAATAATAATTACAATCCATTCTTCTAATGAATAACTACGTGAAGAATAACTTAACTAAGACCATGACTATCCTGCTTCCGAGAGCAAAATGATTAATGCACAATAAAATTCTATGAGTTTTTAATTCCAGTGGAAGTCCACAATAGTAAAGGTCACACGTCCGAAAGAAATATGTGTGTCAAAATTATTAACAAATATCTATTCTAGATTACGAAGAAATGAAAATAACGGCTAAGATATAATTCTCCTAAATAGTTTCTGCCCGAAAAATTAATTAGATACGGAAAAACTTGCAGGTAATAGAATAAGCAGGAGTAAATTTATTTTCATTTTTGTTGCTGTTTTTGTGGCCAATGATTATTTATTTCTTTACGCTGATTGACACCTGCAATGACTATATCCTCGTCACGAATCAATGGATGAAAAAAAGTATTGAAATGGAGCTTCAAACTCGCCAAAACGTCTCAATTAAAAATGGCCGAAAACCCAAATTTTCTTCTGTGACTCAGCCCTGTAATGTAGGCGCGACCCACTACTGGCGTCTTACGCTTTTAACGGTCATTAGTGTTATCCGTATAACGTGTTTTATTCAGTCTTGATGTGCAATAAAGTTTGTCAAGAATCTGTGACTTTAAACCTATAAGATCATGTCTTCAAGTTTGAGTTTACCATATCCCACATAAATGGCATCGCATTGATACCAATGCCTAAAAATTTCGGAACTTTTCACCGGACGCCAAATTTTGTGACATGTTGCAAAACCAATTATTTAAGTGGTAACTGCATGGACACGAGGATTTAGAATTCAATAGCATTTCAGCAGAATCAGTAAATGATAAGTGAAAAAATACCTGATAAAAGTCTCACTATAAAAAGAATTTTACTCCCGCTGTACAAAATGGGCAAATAATTTATCACTCACTCGTCTAAATTAAGACGTTGAGTGCGGCAAGACCCATGGCTGGGATGCAGGGTCTTTTTAACGGACAAATTCCGTAATTTAGTTCTTTTCCTTTGCGTGTGTCGACAAAAATTTATGATGGCAGTACAGCCTTATTATATTTTAAAATGTATGGAAAAAGTAAAATTTGATTTATCCATCGGAACCTACAAATTTACTAGTATATTTTGAATAGTAAATTTTTTTATCCGCGCACGTGGCCGTTTTTAGGCCATCTGCCAGCACCGCACTTAACGTGTTAAATTAATTTAGCAATTTGAAAACTAAATATTTATAGTTCATCAACCCTCCCCTGCCAGTTTTTTTTCTATTCTCCCACTAAGAATAAAATAACAGGTCCAGACCTACTGACACGATAAGAAACGTGGATACGCACTCGAAAGTTCCTATAAATATATCCATGGCATCAGGCTTCAAACAAATGAAATAAATATACAAAAACAGAAACAACCACACAGAATATGATAAATATGTATTTGTTTCATATGGTGAAGTGCTCAAAAACAATATTTCTTTCCGTAATTGGATCCCCTGTACAACTTGCACCGACGCTTTGGCGTAATTATGTAGGTACGACGAAAGCGATGTTTGCTCTTGTGAAATGAATCTGTTGACGTGTTCTGATCAGTTCGCACATCTCTGGAAACCTCAAGCAACATCAAACCGACCATCTCTGTGGACTGAATTACTCTGCTGGGATAACTCGAACGTCACCTACTTCAAAGTTATCTGTGTTGTTGGACCTCAAGTTCAGATACCGACCAACAACTGGAGTAGGAAGACTGATTACAGTCCATCCCGTTGAACTTCCAGGTTTTACGGTTGCTATGACAGCGTTGGTTTCTGATGCAGAGTTCCCCAAACGAACTACAACGGACTGAAAGTACTGAGCCAAATTGCGATGAGCTATACCCACTTCAGACACTTTAACTGCTGACCCAAAGTCGATCTGTATGAAGTTAGGCTGGTTACCAACTGCACTGAAACACGAGACGTTCCAATCAAATCGACTCATGTACCCATCGATGGCTTGGCTGGTCGGTATACCCATGTAGCCGGGACTGCCAGTGGTGACCATGTTGCTCCTGATGATGTCCCGCGCGTCAGCCCAGGACGAGTAGCAAGTCTTGAAGGTGGCGGTGTTGCTGGAGGGCGTCACGCCGGGGAACCATTGCGACACGAAACAGTCCAGGAGGTCACAGCTCATCGTACCTGAGGAGAATTTTGTTGAACGAATAAATACACACAAGTTACCACGCATGAAATGTTGAGATATGTTATCGTATCCGGTGGGCAAGCTATTTTAGACTCCTGCAGAATTAAGCATGACTAAATTAATATAATCAGCATTAATTAAGTAACGGACGACCATGCATGGACGCAGAAAATTCTGTGTTATGTAAACCAAAATTTAGTTTAGATAATTAATACCCATAATTGACTGTGTATTTTCTTACTTGGATCGACGCAAAAAAGCCTGCAGCCACTTGTCAACATGCACTTCCTAGTGCATTCGAAATTCACCGGAAAGTTGCTGGGAAGGAGTGACATGCTGAAGTGTCCCAAGAGACAATTCTTGTGAAACGTGGTTGCGCGGACCTGTTGAAGGAGAAACTTAAGATAGCATAAGCTGCATAAAATAGTAGAAGGCCTGTAAAATTATTTTACTGCACCACATGATAGAAGGCCTATGCAGTTATTTTAGTCTGATTTGCATTGATGTTTTACGTAACCAAATTCAAATTAACATATTACACAACGTTATTTCAAGTTGGAAGCCGCTTTTAAACGTAAAGATTATGTTTAACAGCATACGTTGCACACCGCGGTTGAAATTTTATATCTACTTAAAGTAAATGTTGAAAGGATGCTTTTAAACGTAAAGATTGCGTGTAACAGCATACGTTGCACACCGCGGTTGAAATTTTATATCTACTTTAAGTAAATGTTGAAAGGATACATAAATGTGTGGGTATATGGTGCTTGAATTACTATGTGTGTGGTTAAAACTTATTGTAATTAAAACACCTGCAGAAATTGCGGAACCAAGGGATCGCAGTTCCCGCTCCAGAAGACGTTGACGAGTCCCGCCATACACAGGATGCCCCTCACAGTTCTTATTCGCATGATTAGTTGCTTTGTGCTCCTGGAAATAGGATTTTATATAAGTAATCGATGTATAAAACTGAATAATAAAGTTCTGTCATGAACGTATAGCCAATGTAATATTTCATCCTAACCAAATGGGAGCTAAAAGGATTCCTAGTCTATTGTAAGAATGATTTATGAAATGCAAGTTGTCTGAAGCAAACTTTCATTTGGTGAGTGTGTTCATTTTCCTTACTTTTTAAAATTTAATGAGGTAGTACTGCCATCAGAAAATTTTCTCGACAAAAGTAATTAAAAAAAACTAAAACGCGGAATTTGTCCGGAAAAAAGACCCTACATCCCACCGGTGGGTCGTTCCGCACATAACGTGTTAAATTATGCCAATCGATAATTAATAATGATGGTAGAGTATTAGGGAAAATTTCATTGCGAATCCAACATGATCTCTGTTTTAATATTAAGTGCAAGCTTTATATTCTCAGGGTACATCACAAATTGAGGAGAGGAAGAAATACGGTAGAATGAAATAGGTTATGATCGTAATAGTGATGTTTTGTCTGATATGTATCATTTCGTAGTGATTCTGGTTCGAATTTTCGACCAATCATTGTTGTCCTACTCCTGTTAATTTCTATCAATTCTATTCCGCTGATGCATATGCATGTGTTATTGTGCATGTTCCAAATTAAGTGACGAAACACTAGCTACATTGGTATACATTGCGAGCATTTTCAGCAACCTACAAAATAAAATTAATTCCAAAAGCGCTCAAAAGTCATTTCGAATTAACTTTTTGAAACAGGACCTTCAATTAAGTCAACATCGCTACTTTAGATTTCACGTATATGATACAGTTATGAAACTAATTTGTACGCAATGAAAGTTTGGGTTAAAATAAATGCAGAAATTACGAGTTGAAAATTTGAAATCATTCTACTTCTAAAAATCAATGAGAATTTGATAGTTACGTTTTGAAACTTATTGATTTTTATTTTCAAATAGTTCGTTTCTAATTTTATTTCATTCAAGAATTTTCGAATTATTTATGTAGTAATTATGATATATTTATTATTTATATTGATTATGTAGTAATCATTTAACTAATCAATATAAAATTAATATAACAATGTAAAATTTGTATTTACTTCCATAATAATTTCGCGGATTTTTTTTCAAACTTATGGAGCTTATAAGCTAGGCAGTTTGATTGATTCTGCCTTAATATCGATATCATAAGCATATGCGTTGAACAATATTTAAATCGTATGAATCCGTCATGATGAGGCCATTTAAAAAGACTAAAGAAAAGACTTAAAGACTAAAGGCCACTAAAAAAGACGTTCCGGCAAAAAAATCGTCAATGACGATCAATCAGCTATGCTCAGGAACAATATACTACATTTTAATTTTTCTATTGATATTTATGATAATCAAGATTAACCAGGTCATTGTCCACGTGTGTTTACTATAATGAGCAACAGATCTAGATTTATGATCTACCATCTCTTCAAAGTGGCTATGAATCATTAGGCTGGGAGTCACTCAAGAGAGATTTTTTCTGGAAAGGAATTTTTTATAAAAGATCCTTACTTATTTGCTGTTCAATAATGAGGTCCCATCCACCGAATTTCTGTTCAGATATTGTTGTGTTCATTCTAAGTCTATCTGGTTTGGATGTAGCAGTGGAGCGAAGAATCTTCGAAATACTTTACATATTTATCTGAAGAAACATATTCTATTGCTCAAATATTTTTAAATGATTCGGTCAAGAATAATTTATATTGAATTACTTGTCTTTTATGTTCAAATTGCGTCAAAACAAAAAAAATGCGTCAAAAACCACGTTGTGCGAGTGATGCTTTCGCCAGCATTTAAGGTTGGTTACCTCGCTCCAAGTCACAGGCGTGGAGCGCGGTGTGGCCGCCCGCCTCTCAATCTCACCAACGAAAAGACTCTGAGCTTTGATTTTCATCACAGTACATCCAACCTCGATGAGATTTATAGAACTCGGCGATATAAACTATTGGCGAGTAAAATCCATTTCTGCGTCCGCGGCTTCAACGGTTTGAGTTCACTAAATAAGTCCTAGGAATGTTTTGAGCATTTTGGTGTCAAAATGAGCTTAATTAATTCATCTACTCCAAGTTCGACTCTTTCCTTGAAATGGCATAATTTCCACATTAAGTTCCTAATGAGGCTGGCAAATTATGCTTGTCCGTTTCTATCTTTTCTTGTCAATTGGAAAAGAGGTAAAGGGTTAATGTAAAAATTTTGCATTTGGTAATCCCTCGGTTCTTTGATGGTGTAAAGAATTTGGAGAAGCACAGGATCGAATAAGTGTAAAGTGCATCATGACTGTACTGAAATATAATTCTATTTTCATAATTTTCTCATGCTTCTCGAATGTACAAGCCTGCCCGACCTATTGTCGTTTCTCTTGCTGTCTATTGGCAACGTTGTTTTTATATCGAGTTGAACGAAAAAGAAGCAGAAATGGCTGACAATATTTCAATGCGTATATAATTATAAATGCAGTGCTAGTTCATTTTTGATTTCCATATTGACAAAACGTAACTTTAATCATATTAATCTCATACTAAAATTCAGAAGTTACTCTATCAATATTCCTCCAAATACATATACATATTCATCAAATTGTGAAAAGCAGCTGGTTATCAAAGCCGTAGTTATTCTAAAACTCAACACTTTCAGCGCCCAATAACAATAAACGAAAATAATAAATAAACACAATATAAACGAAAATAAAAATTCTTCCAAACATGTACAGATTTCTTGTGTAGATTAATGCGGATGGCATCATGTGTATACCAACATTCCTCTTGCTGTTTTTTTTAGATTCACGATCACATTGTCACATTGGCTACGGGTGAATTAAAATGGTTGTATGTCAAAGCTATTTTGTTCAATATCTAGTTAAAAGCAATTATCCTCCAAATATTCGACTCCAGTTCTTTTATTTCACTCCACGTGGGCTGCAGAGTAGCGCCTCCGATATCTTGATTTAAAAAGCAATAAGCACGCACGAAACTAGAAGAAATAATAAAGTTGTACAGAAAGTCTTTATGAACTTTTGACACTGCGAGTGTGTCATGCTATGACACGTAGCACAGCACGTAGCATGGCACGTAGCACAGCACGTATCATGGCACGTAGCACAGCACGTATCACGGCACGTATCATGGCACGTAGCACAGCACGTATCATGACACGTAGCATACGTGATATACCGCGTATCATGGCTCGTTAATCTAAAAGAAAATTATTCATCAACGACGCCCGAGGCAAAAGTTTGGCAGCAATTGGACGTCTTTTCTAAAACACGCACACCACATTGATTGCGAGGCAATCACTGCTCTCCACGCGAGCGAATGATTTGTGCATGGTGGTATCCATGATACCGGACGTCAAACATATACAAACCAATGCAGTTTATAAAATATTGTACGTATTTTAATCAAAACAACTTTTATTAAATCAAAACTGACATGAAAAATGGCACACTAAGTGCTTTACAGCTAAGGTTTTATTTCAAAAATTTCGTGTCTAAGAAGGTAATGGGAAATTTTGTGTTATTTTCACCGAAAGGTTTGTGATGAATTTTCTAACTAGCATAATTCATATTGAGGAAGAAATATCCAGTGCATTAACGCGATTATAGATATTTATATGGCCTGGGTATTCAATAATTCTTGGTAAAAATCCCTCCAAGCGAAGCGTTAAAACACGGCACTTTATATTAAAAACAGCAGAAGTTATTTTGGGTCAGTGTTAGACTGTTATAGGTCGTGATATATTGATGTTCATTGAATGAACTTCACTGTGTAGTCTGTTCTAAAATGTCATTATATTTTGGAAATAGACTCGTGAATTCATATTGAATTTCACGAGTTATTGAATATCACCAGTGATGTGATATATATTTTTGTGAGCATGAATTAAGGTTATTACCGAAAAATTCAATTTCAAAACGGACTGAAATACAATCTTTAAAATTAATATACACATAGTTTCTTCACAGTTGTGGAATGAATGAATTCTGGATTAATAGAATTTCCCTGAATATTACAAATGTTACTTTGGCAGAACAAAAATCTGAAAGAGATATGCAAATAGAAATGAATTTTTTGGCCACTACACTATAGAAATTGATCGAATACCTTAATTTGTAGGATGTTCGCTGTTGAATCAAGAAAGTTATTACCGAAAAACCCACTACTACTTTGACTGAACCGTTCATTAAGAAATTCATACAGCCGCTGCGAAGTTGAAAAAAATATAACTCAGTACTCACTGCAGTGAGTGACAGAGAGCGCATTTTCGCGTCGACGAAAACTTGAGGTCACGGACGGACAGACAGACGGACATCGCTAGCACAATAGTGCATTTTTCCCATAAATGAGAAAATGCGCTAAAAAGAACGAATTATTCGACTAATATAAAATTATGAATAAATTAGGCAAGCAGGTCGAACCTAAATCTTGAACAAAATATCTGACATTCTTGGAATTCATACGCCCACTGTGGAACACAGTTGGTAAGAAAATGAAAACTTGGTTGTCCTAGTTGAACGACCGATAGTGCCGTAAAACCAAATTGAAAAACTGCTGAACTGGCAGTCATAAAATTCATATTGCAGTTCTGCCAACAACAAAAATTGTTCGAGTTAAAAGTTAAATATTGTTCTCGTTAAATTACCTTCTTTGATAGCTGTAAACCTACTTCAGGAACGACGAAACCGACACTCTATAAATTTACACAGTTTGAGTGTCATTGTAAAGTGAGTAAATATGATGGAAATGAGTGACAAGTTACCTCAGTCAATGGCTGGAAAATTTGCTCAGCGAAGAATGAACTGATATTCAATAAATTTAAATTGATATCAATCATGAACTGATATCTATCAAATGCTTGCAGCGTCTGTACCGTTGTAAAGTGAAGAAATAATTCCAGTTAAGTTTCAATACTAGTTAAAGCAATAAAATTATTAGATTGAAACTTAATTGAGAAAAATTAAAAACGTTACTGTCACATACGAACATGAATTTCCACAACTCCAAAAATTCAATTCAAATGAGCATCAGTAGAGTTACTTTTATGTCAGATGATAAAGAAGTAAGTTAGTAACTATATCATCTCATATGCCAAGTTTTTGGCCCTACGGCCAATAACTGGCACCATGAACTAGGATTTTCACCTAACCCAATATTTCTATAATGTTTTCATTAAGGCCATGCCATTATAAATTTATATTTATACGTCGGTTTATTTTGCGGTTGACGAATCAGAGGTATTTATACAATATCAGTCACATATGAACATGAATTTTCATTTAGCATTTTAGCTCAATTAATTCGATAAATTTACTCTATAACCATTTGAATCTTGAGTTCAAATGTTAAGACTGGTAGTTTATAAGTAAAGTAATTAACCAATAACTGTCACAAATTGGTTTTCTCTAAACTCTAGGAATTCATTCAATTCTCATAACCGCGGTTGCAATTGCAAATGATTTAGTTTTTTTCGTATTCGGCTATCAACCAATAATTGTCAAAAATGAACTTTGATTTTAACCTATCTAGACCAATTGGTTTATTCTACACGTGTCGGTGTTGCAGGAACTTTAACAATTGTGTTTAATCGTTTTTGAATTAAGTACTTAATAACCATCAAGTCAAATCCAAGAAAGAAAATGAGCAGAAGGGAAATCAAATGCAAGATGGATATAATGTATGTCAAGAATTTATTTCTTCACGTTTATAACATAAACATGTGATGCGAGTAAATAACATTGTAAGTATCATAGAATCATTCAACGCACGTTTCAAGTAGTGGCCATTGTGTGCGAAAAAATATACCTATCCACTTCTGGAGTACGGCACGAAGAATTGCAACAAAATATATTTTACTTTAAAAATCCTCGTGTTAAATCAAATCTTTAATCACTTTCAGAACCAGAATAATCAACTAAGTTAGATAATTGTGTTAACGTTTCTTCCTTCTTGTGACCGTCAACATGACGGTCACTTGAAGCGACAGGCTCAGGTAGAGTGATCTTGCTCGGTGCAGACTCGTGTATTCTTTGTATCGTTGATTCCGATTTCAATGGAAAATTGTCACAATTATTTTGACCGAAAGATAAATTTTCATCATTATTACAGGGAACTTTAGCCGAAATTAGAATAGACTCGTGAATAAAGTCTGTAGACGTTTTAGAGGTCGAATTGGAGGTCTCGGGATGGGTTCCAGTTTCACCGAGACGGCCTTGACCGTCGCCGACTTCTGAACATGCATTAGAAACGCCATTGCAGGGAGAATTTTGTACACTGGGTTTGCTTATAGCACAGCCATTCTCATTTGAATTTACCTTAGGAGGTAAAATACTCGGATCTGTGCTCCACTTGGATCTCTTAGAGTCAACACAATTGTCGCCGACACGTGAACTTTTGTGAGCATTTGACGAGCGCCTTACTGAACTTCCAATTGATGCAGACTCGCAACTAACGCCTCCATTCAGAGGCTTTCCCTTTTTCTTAATAAGATCTTTCATGTCACGGCCGAAGTCATTTTTGAAAGTATCAAAAGACTGAGTACCCGCAGCCACGATGTTTGCCAGTGACTGTTTGGCGACGTCTTTCTTGGCAGCGCGGCTGATGCTTTTCGGCCTCAGCGCTGCAAAAACACTTGCCGAGTCCAGCAGCTTCCGCTTCTCCACAGACTCGTTGAGAGATTTAGGCTGGAATGAAAATTTAATTTAATTCAAACTCAAGTTAGCATAGTTAGCAAGCCTACGTAGGGCAAATTTTTAAGATCACCATTAAACATTCTGAAGAACTAAAGTACTACTAACAATTTGTAATTTATTCGGAATATTTTTAGCACATTTTCTCATTTATGGAAAAAAATGCACTATTGTGCTCGCCATGTCTGTCTGCTTGTCCGTCCGTCCGTGACCTCAAGTTTTCGTCGACGAGAAAATGCGCTCTCTGTCACTCACTGCAGTGAGTACTGAGTTATATTTTGTTCATAAAATCTCCTTGTTGGAATTTCCCTAACAATCTAAAACCTGTGTTCTAATATGCACTTTAAAAATATTTGGAACTTACCAAAGCGTACAAAAATTTGGTTACAATTGCAAACCGCAAATAATGACACAAATTTCATACCTGAACAAAATTTTCATGAATATATTTTAATTAATTATTATTTAATTAAAATATTATTAATTTATTAATTCAATAATTATTAATTAAATTAATTTAATTGTAATCCTGGTGTTCAATATTGATTCTCCCCAATTGTTAGAATAGTTTGACAGCTGCGTTTGACAGTTGAACAGCCACGCTTTAACACTTTGACTCCGATTGCTTCATCTTTTACTATTATTTCATTTTTTGTACTGTTTTCAAACAGGGTTGCCTTTTTATAGCAGAACCAGAGAACCTACAAATAAACTAGTATATATTGAGTTATTGGCCTTTTTTCTTCTCGGATTTATCCGATCTTAGGCAACCTGAATTATGTACCACTACGTCCTGGAGAAATACATTTCGTGATACGCATATGTACCACTTCGGAGTCACCGTGTTAAGCATGTAGCAGAGGTAAAAATGTTTGTTATTGTAAGGTGCAAGAAAGCTTCAATTTTTCATTACATTAGAGATAACGCGCTGATTTAAGTGACGACTCACCTTAGATATGGAGAGAAGCGCGGCCTGTTCAGCATCAGCAGCAGAAGGAGGTAGCAGTGCAACACTCAAGCGGTACTTGGAGTCCACACGTTCTTGAGCTTTAATGGCGTTCTCAGAAGCACGAAACTTTTGACGGAGGGCTTGGTTGGCTGAGAAATCATCTTCCCACCTGCAAGAAATATCAACATCAGATTTCAGTTTATTATCCCTTGAAAGCCTGTGGGAAAATCCATAATACTGCCTACTAGTGTTGGATGTTGCTTCGTTAAAGTTATTAAAAAATATAACGCAGTACTCACTGCAGCGAGTGACAGAGAGCGCATTTTCTCGTCGACGAAAACGTGTGAAGTCACGGACAGATGGGTGGACAGACAGGCAGACGGACATGACGAGCAAATAGGGCATTTTTCCATAAATGAGAAAATGCGCTAAAAACGGGTAATGTTGGATTACTAAGGAAATACTATGTATTAAAATTCAATTAATTAATGTTATTTATGTAAAATTGGTATTTTGATTGAAAAATGCCCTTAAGTGAACTAGAGATGGAATAATATAAGTTTTCGGTGACTAACTGCAAAAGGATGCTATGTATGCACAAAGAAAACACTTCTAACTCCAGCCCTGCTGCTGTCAAGCACACATCTTGCAGTTGCCAAGTGACCTCAACTGCGTTGTGGTCAATTACTATAACTAAAGAAGGTACATTTGCTCCTGGTCTACACTAAAATGATTGTCATGGAACTCGTGTAGAAAAAAGATAAATAATACAGTTAATCGAATTCCGATTTTGTAACTACCTTCACACGGTCCTTTGAACCTTAATTTATAAATACCATAAGAAAGATTGAAAAACGATCGTTCAAATCCCGTTAACAATCTGTATCAAAAAAATTTCGTAGCAGTTATGCCCTATTGTTCAGAGAAATAAATGCAGTGTTTAACAATAGGAGATGGATCATTATTTATTGGAAAATTATCAGTGGGTATTTAGGGGATCAAACTTGAAAGGAAACAAGATGATCGGTCAGAAGACAGAAATTGTGTGAGAAGTCAGTGAAAATCAGTATGTATAAGAATAATTTACCACAATTCTCGATTAAGCTGAATTACTCAGAAACCTATTATATACGTACAACAGTCACACCGAAAATATAAATAGTAATTGTACTACATAAATGCATTAATATTGAAACAAATATTACAAGCCATATTATTACACACATATATACATGGATGAGATGTCACCCACCTTGATCCTTGTAGGTCTTCTAAATCCTTCATGACTGAGTCCAAAGCACTGGCCTTGCTTTGATCATCACTACGATGCTCAAGTTTGAACATGGCATCAGCAGCCAGCCTCCGTCCAACAGCTTTGTCATCAGGCGCAACTTGGTCATTTTCTGAAGGGTCCCATCGACGTTCTTGACGTCGCGCTCCACTCGTGATTACATAGTCCAAATTCTGAACAGGGAGCTTTTCTTTAACTGCTGCATATTGGTAAAAAATATAACTCAGTACTCACTGCAGTGAGTGACAGAGCGCGCATTTTCTCGTCGACGAAAACGAGTAGTCACGGACGGACAGACGGACGGACGGACAGACGGACGGACGGACAGACGGACGGACGGACAGACGGACGGACGGACAGACGGACATGGCGAGCACAATAGTGCATTTTTTCCATAAATGAGAAAATGTGCTAAAAATGAGCACCAAAGCAGGTAAATCAATAATTCAAATAAATGCATATTTTTGGATAAAATAAAAACTTACACATTAACTTAACAAAAATGTAGCAGAATAGAATACAAAAAAGGTTACTCACAGCTGGGTCTGTTTGGATTTCAAAGTGATTGTCACAGAGATGACATTTCATCCGAAACTGATAGATGGGAGTCGTGTAATACATCCCAACTTTTTTCTTCTCAGCATTGTACCTTCAAAATAATATCACCCTTATATTATTTGAATACACCACAAAAAAAGGAATAATTATACATTCAATAGGCAAATAGTTTTCACTAAAAACTCAGACTCACAAGTTATGTACAAAATAAGGTTAATAGTTTTTTATCATTAAATATATTCTGACATAGAAAAACATTTTTTTTAATATTTTATGCAAAATGAAAAATTCAAACATGTATGAATAAACTACTAATTTTTACAAAATTCTAATACTCAGATCATAATTTGGATAGAAATATTGAATAATTAGGTAATTCCTTAAATATCCAGACCACATAGTACACATAGCATGTACAAGAAATCTATTGATTCAAATGCATGGCATAATCAAAAATTTTGTTGAATAATTATATCATAATAACAACAGCCTGAAGTGATTTCAGACATAACTAATGTAATTAATTTTCTCATTTAGTGTAATCAAAAAATTTATGTAAGCATTGAGGAAAAACAGGAGTACAAAAAATAAAGCTTATGATAATCACATAGTTGAAAAATCAAGGCATTACCTGACACCAGTGCCAATATGGTTGCCACATCCATCACACCAAATGTTGTATGGCATCTCAAAGCGGATGATGAGAATGCCAAGATGCAGCTTCCGGGCACGCTCACGCAAAGCGTGAGTGCCCAGGAATTTATTGAGGCCTCCTTTGCTCGGGTCATAGTCGGGAGGGTAATACTTGTTGACTCCTTTCCGTTCACCCTGAAAAACTTGTTGATTTCAGAATGGATTTTTCACAATTCAATACATGAGCAAGTATTACAAAGTTCTGAGAGCCATAACTAAAAGTTACAATCTACAGTTACTGTGGTTACAAATTTTTCATAATCTTAGGGTTAGATCATATGCCAGTGGCAGTGGATCTATATTTGCACAGTAAAGTACTTAAAGTTAAAGTGTGACCAGAATAGTTTTTTAAATTATTAAGAGGCTAAATGATCATCAATAACATTAAAACATTGCCTATATTAAGAAAAAATAGGTCTCTTCTAAACAATCAATAAACTCAACAGCTGAGCATGACAGATTACATATGTCAATTATATACATATATATATTCAAAGACATATGATGGGAAATTATTTGGTTCATTAGTTGTTCTTCATGTTGCCATTGGTACCCAACATATCATAACAAGTTAAAATTATAACTAATATCAACTTTTATTGGNGGTATTCAATAATTTTTATACATTATTTCAAACCTTGGTTAAAGTGTGTAATCATCAACAGCCTCAATTGTTTGTTATTGTAAGTAAACATGTTATTAGTAAATATGAAGTTCATGATTTATTTTGTTTTGCAATTTTAACAATCTCATCTCAGTCAGCTGACTTTGATCCTAAAGGTGTAAGGTGAGGACTGCTTATTTCCATAAAATCATGGGGCAAAATATACTAAAAATTCCAGGATATGAAGTCTTGCAACATTGATGCTACTCAAGTCACAACAGCACTGCCTTCTAATACAAATAATTAATTTTATAAATAAAACTGTGCTACAATTTTCCAGACAGGGCAAAATTGAAAATAGCTTTTCAGGATTATTAGCCTATATACCTATGTGTTTATAAACACGTGAAATAAAATACTTTCATAAAGTAGGTTACACAAAATCTTACCATGGCAGTATATATATAGTAAGCAACTTCTTTTATTAGAGCCCGTTATCAATCCGCACACACTATCCTGAGTTGAGTATCGTCGATGACTCGTAGCTCTGCCTCTGCCGTAATTTCTACAGCTGTGCGACCTAAACAGTAAATGTGACATCGCAAATTTCAGACGAGCCGTTGTTGCGGATTCCCACAGATTAACAAAATCGAGATTTTCAAACAAAATTCCAAATTTGAAATGTGAAATTGAGGACTTAAGTCAGGTGATGCTGGGCAACATCCAACAATTTGTTTGGTGGAAAGTACTTCTAGTCTGACGGTCAACCACTTACAAGATGTCAAGTCAACACCGGCCGCACACGGTCAGTCAGAGGAGCTGGATGACAAGTAAACAGTAAGAGTCATGTCAAAAGATCCAAGCCTGTAAGTAATATAAGAGGTAACCTCATAAATCAAAGTGACATGGCACAAAAAGTTTTAAAGTGTCTAAACACGGATTCAGATTCCGTTTTGAACAAAAAAGTGAACTGTTAACTGTGATCGCAAACGGGTACATTGACATTATTTGTACTACCTACAGAAACACTTCCTAAAAGCACGGGGGTTAAATAGTAAATGTTGACTTTCGGTTGCCAGGTTTTGATTGTTTCCATAACTTAGATGATGAGCAGTGCAGTGGTGGTGTAGGTTTGTGAGTTAAAACATTTTATGGGGCCCAGCAAGTTAAGTTATCTGCAGAACATCAATCAGCTAAAGAATCAGTGTGGTGCGAACTTGCTCTAAAAGGCAAGGATAGCCTCCTCATAGGCGTCGCGTATGGATCACCGAACAGCTCCTCTGATAATGATAATACTGAACAACCTTTTACCGAGCATGACTTTCAGCAGGTCGCATACGTCAATCGTTCCGACTTTATAACGTTCCGACTGCTCAGGCTTGGAGCTTGCTGAAGGCAGCGAGAAAGCTTGAAGAGTCCGCTGACTACAAGTCAGTTTTCGTAAAAAAGATTCCACCCCATTAGAGGAGGCGGATTTTCGCAAGAAATGGCAGGAGAGAATCAGGCGGAAAGGCACAGAAAATCAGGTCAATCACTTCCAAGCTGTCGAGACAACACCGGCCGCTCACGGCCAGTCAGAGGAGATGGAGGACAAGTAATTAGTAGGAATGATGTACGTGGATCAAGGCCTGTAAATAATTTAGGAAGTAACTGTATACATCAAAGTGATAGTGCACAAAAAGTTTTTAAATGTTTTTATACGAACTCGGAGTCCGTTTTGAATAAAAAGTGAGCTGTTAACTGTGTTTGCAATCGAGTGTATAAACATTATTTGTATTGCAGAAATATACCCTAATAAATCACTTACATCAAATGATGTAAGTACCGTAGATAAGCAGCATAACTACAGTAGGCCTCGGAATAATCTCCTAGTCAGTTTTTTTATCGATTAGCTATAAGTTGCGCAATCATAATAATGCATTCTTAAATTACTCGGTTGGAGCCCGATTGTCAGAGAATCAGCTGGTCATGTACGATCTTGCAGAGAAGCGTGAACGCGACTAACTTCGAGGGACGAAAGTCGGACCTACAACTTTTTAATTTCCCAGGGCTTTCTGAATGTTTTCCACAAGACATGTCAATTTAGCTGCTCTCTAGTATACATTTCAGCGAAATTGCTTACATCATTTAATATAAGAAGATCGGAAGTGGCAAATGTATGTTCATTGTCGTACGTACGTGCCTGCAGCATTGAGCTGATACTGGATACGATAATGTGTTTCGTTTCTGCTGGCTGATTTGGAATACCAGATATTGCACGACTTCGGGTCTCCACGCTTTAAGTCTGAAAACTCATCTTAGACGGTGATTTTGAGCGGCATTTCCGGTAGAAGTACCTAAAGCCTTTTTTTTTGTTTTCAAGGTAGTCGATATTGTAAACGTCAAATGATCACCATTTAGAGAAATTTCAAGTGAGGTCGTCAGCGTCGCAAGCTAGCGGGAGTATCTTCAAGTATGTGGTTGATATATGAAATTGACATATGTAGTTTTATTCACTTATTCAATAAAAAATTAGGAACACGATGCCAATATGAATTGGTGGGTGAACGTATTTGTCCAGCCTGCGTTCTACGGCCCTTGCTACACCTGTTGCTGACGAAAGCCTTGAAACTAATTTATTGCGTAAAACCGAGTAAGGAGACGAAAAACACGACACAAGTCTTAAATAATTTAAATAAAATATCAAGAACAAATTGAAGATTACATAATCCGAGCAATTCCAAAATGAGAATTATTACTAGTGCCAAGATGGATAAGTGTCAAGAAATTTGTTCTTCAGTGTTCAACTAAATTGAATGTTTTCTACCTAACCTAC